GGGGGTAGTGAAATTTTCAAAATAGCATGTGATCTTTCATAATTTGTCAATGCCCGCTCGTAATTGCCGAGCTTTTCGTGTATAAGACCGATGTTGTTGTGGGAGGAAGCCAAATCGGGATGCTCCGGAGGTAGAGCTGTTTTTCGGATTTGAAGTGCTTTTTCATGTGAGGAGAGAGCTTTCTGGTAGTTATCCATGTCTTGATACACATTACCAATATTGTTATGAGTAGTAGCCAAGGACAGATGATTAGGAGGAAGAACTATTATCTGGATTTTTAGTGCTTGCTCATATGATGAAAGAGCTTTCGAGTAGTCACTCATAGCCTGATGCACCATACCGATGTTGTTGTAAGAAGCAGCCAAATCGGGATGATATCCAGGTAGAGCTATTTTTCGGATTTCGAGCGCTTTGTGATGTGATGAAAGAGCATCTGAGTACTTGCCCATGTTTTGATACACATTACCAATATTGTTATAAGTAGCAGCCAAGGACGGATGATTAGGAGGAAGAGCTATTATCTGTATTTTTAGCGCTTCCTCATACGATGAAAACGCTTCCGAGTACTCGCCTGAAGCCTGGTGCACTATGCCGATGGCGTTATAACATCTAGACACTTCCACATGATCCTTAGTTATATTTTCTTCTCGAATTTTTCGTGATTTTTCGTAATATTCAAGGGCTGCTGAATATTTACCCATTTGGTAATTAGCCCATCCGAGATAAAAATTATACTCGGCTATTTGTTTGTGAGTAGAGGCATTACCGAGGAGAACATTGTACAGTTGCTCTGCCTTATCTGCTTCGCCAAGCTTGAGTAAGATCAAACCAAATAAGGACCATCCTGTACTCGCTTTTGAATTAACCTCGTCACGTATACTCGCTGTCAGTCTACTAAAATCATCATCTTGGCTACCAACAAGAGTGAGTTTGACTTCCCAAAGCCGATTGTTGGCATCCATTTTTTGAATGTTCTCGATGCGAAAAATCGTATGTGTGGAAAATAAAATTTCTTCTTCCGTAGCACCGAAATGACCGACGCCTTGAGTAACGCGGACAAAAGGTGTCAATGATTTCGCACAAATATCTGGGTCAATATCTATGACAAAGAGAATTCCAACTACAGTAGAATCATCTATAGCACGTTTTGTGAATTCCAATGATACCTCCCGATTTTGACTGGTTGACAAAAAATTATTGAAGGACATGAAGCTTCCTTTCGTTTTCTTCAGTTTTTCGAAGGATTCCATGGACAAACGTTGTCCTCGGAAGACTTGAAATTTACTACGACTTGAGTTCTGTTGTTCGTCGTGTAATTTTTCAATACTTTTGTGTAAATCACGTATGAAAAAGCCGAATTTGTGTATTATATCGATATCCACTCGTCGTAACCCAAGATTTAGTTCGCGATAGATAAAAGACTCTCTTGTATACCACCAAATTGGTGAGTGATCCCGATACTCACATTCAATCAGCTTGATTTCAGCTTCATCAATGTCACGCCGATCTCGGCAATATGTGACAAGGTCGTGAATCGATTTAGCATCATCATCATCAATTTGCAAGAGAGATTCCTTTAGTAATTGGGTGTACATAAAGGATGGATCAAGACCATTGAAACTAATCGAGATTGTGTCTCGATCATATCGTTCACGATCCATTTTTAATGCTTCGCAAAGCTCTTTCATTTGTGTGTAAACACCTTTGACCTTCGGTATATTTCTGGCCCATCGATCATGTACGGATTGGTTACGACAGAAGACATAAACTGAGTACAATTGTGGCCATCCTTGAATTTGCTGGATTACATTTTTACCTATATAGCCAGCTACAATCATCAACACCTTTTCTTCTTTTAATTCATTTAAGAAATTCACACATTGTTCACTGTCCGTGAATGGTTCAATTGTTTCTATATGTCGTAATGCTTCTAACGATTCTTTATAATCTTTTTCTGCCTCATCAATATTGGCATCAAGCCAGACTAGTAAAAGATTTCGTGGTATTCGTTTGGGAACACGTCGATGCGCCGCCCCATCAGTCCTGTTGTTGGCAATCATAGCTGCTTCTTCTCTGACAATGGTCCTTGTCGCTATTTCTTTATCCATGGTCGATTGATCATTTAATGCACAAAACGGTATCAGCCTCCAGTGTATACCTAAATACAAGTGTTCATTGACTCTTTCCCAAAGTTTAAGCGTTTTATGGCTTTCTATCTCGATTCAGTGTGGGTGTGGGTGAAAGAGAACAAGAAACACCCACCCATATACATAGCCACACCTACACCGGGACTGGAAACCTAGTCGAGCATCCGTGAATTCATTTAGCTGTAATTTTTGTCAAAAAATTGCAGATATTAGGACTTTTTTTGCTTGATCAGACTACAATAATATTCTACTTTTCTTTCCTCGGGTGTGGGTCGGTTTTAGGATTGGTTCCGGCATGGTTATGTATGAGTGTGCATAAAAGTATTACACCAAGAAATGAGAAGTTATTGTCATGTTACTGTTATTTTTACAAAAAATAATAACTCTCTTTTTCATTCATTATCAGTAACAAAAAATGCTTTTGTTGTTAGTAACAATGACAATAAATTCTCATTCCTAGGCATGGTCGCATTTATAGATTCGCTCGCATACATCCATAGCTAGGTATGCTGCCAACTCGAGCCCAACATCAATAATTTGGTACCGAGCTGCGAACTCGGGTTCGGGTTGGCAGTATGTCTGCCCATAGCCACATTCTATTGAAAGCAGCACAGGCCATATGATCGATGACCGTATACATTTCTATCTATGAATCTTGTTTACCGAAGTAGTTCTAATAAAAGGATTACTGCTTAACGAGAAACGTCATTCATCTTGTGCTAGTTTTCACAAACAAGGCTGTTTCATTTCTACACAATTACCTATACATCTGTTTGCTCACTGTGAGCAAGTCGCGATTTTTTTTCTGCGATTATATGCTCGAAAAAGAAATGATGATGTAAACAACTTTTTGGCGATCAAAGTACATTCTCCTTCAATCTTTCACCAACGGTGAAATTGATCAGAGTGGGAAAGAAGCAAAAAGAAAGAAAAACAATGCAATGTCTTTCATATAAATACAGCAAGGCATCTACGTGAAGTTTTCGTCCTTGTGAAGTTTGACATTAACGGCTGCACACAACACAAAGAAGAAGTAGCATACGTACAACGAGATACCATAGAGAAGAATCGTGATTAAAGTAAGCTCAAGATGTTACTCGTTTTACATAAGATGATATATTCACATCGTGTCAAGACAAATAGAAATGAGAGGTGATAGAGTCCTATCTAAAAGTAAAAAGAAGTGCTAGTTAGTCATTACATGATCGACCGAAGTGATGCATTGCAAAAAAAACTCTTGGCAATCATGAGAATTATTGCATGTGAGCCTCGAATTTAATGATATCGAGTAGCTCAATGGATCACGCTCAGTTTCCCTCATGTTCATATATGTAATCAGGGCAATTATTTCATGCTGTTTGCTTCTATTGCATATTTTTCTCAGCGTTGTGAAAAATCACGATTACAAAAAAGTCCTTGTTCTCGGCTATATCTTCAGAATAGCTGAACGGATTGCGTTAAAACTTTTTTCGCGTGTGATAGACTAGTAAGTCTACTATTACTAATATTTCAGGTTGATAGGGTGATTCCTTAGTATTTTGAAGGCTATGAGTTTGAAGCAAAACCGCCCATTCGTTGAGTATTCTGCAACCGTTTAGAAGCCGACTCAAATCTAGATTTTTGCGCATGCGAAATTTGCAGTAATGTCTCATTGCAGTGGAAATATCAGCATCTCAGGCAAAACTGTTGGCTAGCTGAAATCCTCCCAACACTCCAATTTCGACAAAATTGGCAACTTTCGGTTGCATCGGCTTCAAAAGATACCCGTGAGTCATTGCACTGACCATGAAACCCTGATAGATACAATCGTTCTTTACATTTTAACGCACGAATCAACATGAGGTCTGAAACAGTTGCTTGACCATACTAATTTTTAACAAAAATCTTGAGAAATAAGGTATTCTCTATAGAAAGTCAGTTAATATTAGTCGAGCAAAATTCAGTTTTACCATTAATAAATTTTTTTTTTGAGAATTCCCTTCTTAGAGTACATATCCGACTCCTGAGTAATATTGTCTAAGGACAGATAGAGTGCAATTTTTGAGGGAAACTCTTTTGCGACGCCGTTAATCTAATTTATGCTTGTTGCATGCTTATTTCCGAAGTCATGTTTGTTTTGCCTGAAACGAAAGAGGACAAGATCAGTAGGAGTCCGTGAGTGCTAAAGAAAAGGCTCATTCATACCCACCATAAAATTTATAGATCTAGTTTCTAGATGTTTATCTTTTTCATTTGCTTCTGAGATGTCAGAGCATAGAGGTCATTGTTTGCGTTTAATTACGAAGTCAATCTGTGAACCTGGTCCGTAGTAGAGTTGTTGATAAATTGTGTTTAAATTATTGTGCTAACACCAGGATAAACGTGAGATACGCTCAGTGAGCTGAAGTTTTATTTTTAGAGAGTACATTGAAAAAGATCGGCTAACAAAATGTCCGGTACAGGTTTGGGTGTACCACAGCATTTAATGCAGGCAGATGCACAACAAGGTGATACAGAGGATATTCAACAAATGGGTGACAGCAGTGGCAAAAACGCGCCTACTGTGCAAGGGAAACGCGTTCTAAACACGCCGATGCACGACCCATCTTTAGGAAACGTTCAAGACTTAAAATCCAAATGGGCCAATTTCAAAAAATAAATTGGACACTCATCGATAATACTTTCATTCTCCATACAAGTTGTATTTCATTCCTCAGACATAATCTTTTCCTTTTGTAATCCATATTCTTCCAAATATTTCTAATACACAGGTGAAAATAGACTGAAAACAGCCCTTCCTTTACTGAAATGTTTAACAACAGCTGAGAAAGGAATTGGTCCTAGCACCAGTCCAACAAAATCATTCGTATCGAAGCAACGTTTTAAATGAAACGAGCAGTATTTCGGTGACTACAAGTGAATTGCATAGCAGCTTGGCAGTGGAAGTAAAGAAGCGACCATAATCGGTCGAGAGTATGAGTGTCTCTTCTTGGGATATGGGTGTGGATGGATGAGATTTTTGTACAAATAATTCCAACGCAATTCACGACCAGGTTCCTCCTTGCTTGAGGGACCCATCAAGCAAATTTAGAAATTAATATAATTGCAAAGGATGGGTGTGAGTGTAGTACACATTGTATGTCGTCTTGTCTCATACTCACACCTACATCTACACCCACCCACACCCACACTCACACCCCACACCCACACTCACACCCCACACCC